GTGGCGATTCACTCACTTGGAGGTTCACGCGCTAATTGGTATCACACACAAAACCCTTAATAAGGTGCCACACAACCAACACAAGATAAGGATCACACAAGCCATGAGCAATCCACTAGAGTACCTTTTGGCTCTCCGCTGGGGAAAGGTCAAGAACCCCTCATAATCACCACAATTAGAGCCAGAGACAACCACCAACCTCCGCTCGACGATCCTCACTGCTCTAGGCCATCTAGGTGGCGGCAACCACCAAGAGTAACAAGCAAATCCTGCAGCGAAACACGAACACCAAGTGCCTCTAGATGCAAACACTCAAGTAATGCACTTGGATTCACTCCCAATCTTACAAAGATGATGAATCAATGATGGAGATGAGTGGGAGGGCTTTGGCTAAGCTCACAAGGTTGCTATGTCGATGCAAATAGCTAAGAGAGTGAGCTTGAGCTAGCCATGGGGCTTAAATAGATAGCCAGCATGAATAGAGCAGTTGGCTCCTCTGTCCAGTGAAACACGGGCTGATCGGACGCGTCGATCTAGTGGACCAGACGCAGGACCCCAGCGTCCGGTCGCTCGATGCTCGCCACATGTCATCAGCCTCAAATGCCGAGCGCCCGATCTTAACGGCTAGTCTACTTCATGCCACGTGTTAAGTTGCGACCGGACACACTGCTTAAAGTGACCGGATGCTCCATCACTAGAGTCCGGTCGTTTCCAGTAAGGTTCTAGAGAGGCAAAATCATGACCAGACGCGTTCGGTCCACCATGATCGGATGTGCTGGTGCGTCCGCTCCTCCTCCTCTTCTCTGCACGCCACCACGTCAGCAGGACCAGAAGCTAAACAGTTTTCATCCAGAGTCCGGTCACCTCGTCCAGTCTCAGGTCGAGAGTAGCCCGAGCACACCACTGATTTTATAAATGACCGGACGCTGCTCCCCAAGTTCGGTCACCACGTGACTGGCATTCGATCACTGTTTTCAGTGACTATCACCTCCTTCACTTCACCAACTTCTCTACCCTTGCTCAAATGTGCCAACCACCAAGTGTATCACCTTGTGCACATGTGTTAGCATATTTTCATAAATGTTTTCAAGGGTGTTAGCACTCCACTAGATACTAAATGCATATACAATGAGTTAGAACATTTAGTGGCACTTTTATAACCGCATTTCGATCTGAGTTTCACCCCTCTTAATAGTACGACTATCGATCCTAAATGTGGTCACACTCGCTAAGTGTCTCGATCACTAAACCGAAAAGCTCCTATCAATTTCACCTTTGTCTTGAGCTTTTTGTTTTTCTCTTTCTTCTTTTTTCAAGTCCTAGCACTTGATCATCATCATGGCATCACCATCATCATGATCTTCATTGTTGCTTCATCACTTGGAATAGTGCTACCTATCTCATAATTACTTTGATAAACTAGGTTAGCACTTAGGGTTTCATCAATTCACCAAAACCAAACTAGAGCTTTCAAACGACCAGAACACACGATGCAGGACATGCCTCAACGGGTCTCGAAAATACATCCCTCCAGTGTCCACAAACCATTTCAAGTCAGGGTTGTAGTAATGCATTGCACATAAGATGCGGGGCACCCTGTTGTACGCTTCCTCCCAACTACCCCAACGAATCGTCAGGGCAATTTGCTTAGCACGCCAAGCCTTTTCGCACTTCACATCATACTTAACGAATCCAGATATGAACTGTTGTAACAAAGACACCGAAATGTCATTGTTGTCATCAACGAGCCCCAATATACGACGAGTAAGGTAACGTGCAGTGAGCTATTGATGATTTTCCTTTCCCCTATTTGATAGGCAAGTGTGGGGTTCTACCACTTTACTTATTCTCCACTTGCCATCACTCTGCCTCTTTCGTGCATTTAACCTCCACATACAACCGTTTTTGCATATCACGTGATACCTCAACTCCTGGTCCAAATGAGTGACGTTGTATGGCCTATGGTGATACACAACATAGTCCTGAAGGAAGAGCTTCATGTCTGACATTGTATTGAATATCATCCCCTCACTAAAGATTTCTTTCTCATGGTCATTCAATGATTTCCTACACATCTAGATACCGGTGTCACAAACTGTCATATCCGTCATGCTGACATCCCTATAGTTTGGAACGCCCCTGAAAGGTACGTTCATTGACCTTAGTTGCTCAAGCTCTGTCGCTGTGTAAGGTGGTGGTGGAACATACTGTTGTGCTTCGCTAATTATGCCTCATGAATCATAGGGGGTATCATCTTCTAGCAAATATGTGACTAGTCTACCCTGAGCCGGCATAGCATGCAAAACCTTAATTGGTACTGGTAATGGCATACCATGAATAGGCTTCTCCTGGCGACTGGCGGCGGGCTTCTTGTGCGCCCTAAGTTGGAGGAGGGTTAAGGACAGGGGTGGCAGGGGAGGGAGAGGATGGGGAGACAAAGGGAGAGAGGGAGGCGACGCCATAGGGAGCGGCCGCCGCGTCGGTGACGGGGAGGGGCGGCGGAGCAGTTGGCAGACAGGGAGGGATTGAGAGAGGGAGAGATAGGGAGAGTGGCGCGGCGGCAGTGGGGAGTGAGGGAGGGAGGCGGCGGGCGCGGCGACGGCGAGCACGGCTTCAGGGCTCACTCTTCCGAAATGGGCTGAGTGAGTGAGAGAGAGGAAAGGAAGCGAGGCTGGGCCAAGGGCCCGTCCAAGGGGGTGTCGCGCCATGATGGGTGGCGCGGCAGCCCCACGCCCTGACGGGTGGCACGTCAGCGGCCAACGCCGCGGTTGACTACCATGTGGTCACCCTAGCCGCGCCGTCATGCAAAGCGCCATGCGAATAGGCGCGGCCAAAAATATTAGTTTTGAAGAAGAAAAAATAGTGTCAGATTTAGAAATAGTTTTAAAAAAATGTTAAAAAAATTAGGCGGTATGCCGAGCAGCAGGCGATAAGCATCGCATCACTTACTAGTCGCTTCTCCGTGGAAGCTGCCGTGGGGCTGGGGCCGGAGTGACGCAAGATTTGCAAGTTGACCTCAAGCTTAGAGATGGCCGTTGGATGCAGATTTTCCTTTGATAAAACAGAAACTTATGGCTGTTACCAAACCAAGACATTTTTCTCGACGCGCCTTTGTCGTGCTGCTCCGTACCTACTTCTATCTGCAGGCTTGCACACGGCTCGCTTGGTGCAGGTGCCAAGTGCACTGGAATATGCTTTCGGCGCAAATGACATAAGTGCCCACGCCCCACTCAGCCAACTGTTTTCCATGTTTTCCTGGTAAGCGGTCTGGAGCACTTTGGGACCTGGTTCGAGAAAGTTACGTACTCCACGCAACAATCTCAGACATCCTGTTCTAATCCTATATGGTTAAATGGAGTTATCTGGCTATGTAACTTTTCAAAGGGTTTTTAACCAAACAAGCACGGATTGTGTGGGAGGGGTAAAAGAATGGGAACACCAAAGCACAGAGGACGCCATGACATTGTATGATGATCATGACACTATTAAAAGAATATTCTACATGTTGTTACAGGATTTTTTTAACAAAATAGGAGCATTACATATATTAGTAAGATCTACCGTACATGTTTTTACATCAATTCTTATTAAAATTCGACAAGACAATAACAAAATCCAATAAAAACTAACAAAATTAGATCAAATTGTAAGGTGATGGAACGCAGGGGCGGGTCTACAGAGGGGCTAGAGCCCTCCTATAGCTGGTGCATCAATGAAAATATGGGGAGGGTGAGGGAGAAGAGGTGGAGGAAAGAAGAAAAATAGAGAGAGAGAAGAAGAAGAGACCAGTCCCTTCAATCCTATTCTGCATCCGCCACTGATGGAACGGTAAAACAAATAACGATATATGGACGCGTTGTATATTTCTTATTTAGGGAAAATAGTAATTGCATATAATAGGAATGATATGGATAGCTTGCATTGAGAGATTGAAAGACAGTGGAATGGCATGTCGTTTAGTGAGAGATGATATGAATGGCTACATTTTAAGATAGAATTTATAGTGGGGTTAAAATGTAAGAGATATAGATATAAACATAGATATATAGATATAGCTACACGAGTGATATAGTCATATAGATTATAATCATTACAGTATTTTGTCTCAAGAGAGAATCTTAGGAGCCACTTTGCTCTAAATTCATGTTCCAGTAGCGTAATTACCGTGTTGTTAGGTCTATTATTTTATATGAATTATTAATCTTCCATATTAACCAAACAAAATAAAGCCTCAAGAAACTGGCAAAAAAAGGATCCCCCCCCCCCCGATTGACAATCACACTCTTCACGCGGTTAAGGCTTTTCTTGTACGGAAGCTTAAATGGTTGGCACTGTATTATGCAGACATTCGCGTACTAAGGGCGTGTTTAGATGGCGATTTTTTTTTGCTAGGTGTCTAATTATGGACTAATTAGGTTCGAAAGTTTCGTCTCACGATTTCTCACCCAATTATGTAATTAGTTTTTTTTTATCTATATTTAGTACTCCATGGATGTGCCGTAAGATTCGATGTGATAATTTAGGATGAAAATTTTTGGAATCTAACAGGGCCTAAACACTTGGCAATGTACCCGTCCGTTCATTGGTGCTGACGGCGTGTGGTTCCTTCGTATAATAATAATCCTAATCCCCTTAAAAATAATTCCTGTGTACTGAAACAAACAGTGGGCGACCGAAAGAAAACAAAAAGTGAAAGAAACGCGAGGGCAGAACCGTCATTTCGGACGATAAGCTCCAAGCGACCACACCCCGATAAAACATCTCCACCCACCCCGCCCACTCCCCCTCCGCCGTCGCCTCTCCGCTTTTCCCCATCCTTCTCCGCCGTCGCCGCGGTCGCGTCCCAGTCCGAAGAGCCTCCGACTCAGATGGCCAACCGCTGGGTCCGACCCGAGGTGAGCTTCCTCAACGATTCCACACGTACGCACACACACTCTCTCCCTCTCTCTCTCTGATGGTGGTGCCTTGGTGCCGCGCAGGTGTACCCGCTGTTCGCGGCGATGGGCGTTGCCGTCGGCATCTGCGGGTTTCAGCTCTTCCGGAACATCACCGGCAACCCGGAAGTCAGGTCCGGATCTGTACTCTTAACTCCTTTTGCCTGTTTGATTCTTGCAAGAGATGTGCTGCTCCTGCTGGAGCAGGGTAGATCTGCTCGGTTTGGGTGCTTTCTTGAAGTTGAAGTCGTAGTGGCCTAGATGTAGTTCAAGTTCAGTAGTCGCTTTATTTCTTCCTTGTCTGAAAGGCTGAAGCCATGGTTCGGCGTTGACTTGCCAGAACCAGAGTGGTATTGTACTATCCGTCAGGTGAAATTTGTGTTCGTAGTTTTCCCAGTTTGAAAATTCGTTCTTTTTGGTGGGCAAGGTTGAAAACTACTAGACCGTTCGTAGGAGTCGGTCGGTCCGATAAGATAAATGTTATATTTAGTTATTTACATATTTATATTTATTACCTGCAAAAGTCATTTTTTTGGTTGGGTGGGGGTATGAGTAGAATCCATGGCCTGCAGTTAGGTAGTAGAAACCGAAGTGTCAGGTTTGGGAGTGCTAATTCGTGGCTAGAAGCCTACAATGTATGCATATGCTTCTGTTCTTTACACGACATCATAGTTTGTGTACCTGCATGGTGGCAAACATTTCTTTTGACAGAAAACTGGAGGGCTGATCATATGCATGTTGGCATGCTGTTTACATCTTCTGGTTGTGATTGTCCACTATTTGACGACACGAGATGGCACAACTGTAGCTGTTCGTTTGTGCTTACCTAGTTACATGCACCCCCTGTTTACATACACTAATCTTGTATCACTATCAACACGAATGGTGTAACTTGTATCATGCAAAGAACAAAGTACTTTGATGGTATTGTACCGTCACTTGTATGAAACTATGAATTATTTGGAAGCATGATCTTTCATACTAATTTTTGGTTAACAAAGTGCAATCCTAGTTCAAAGGGCAGGCCTGGTGCAGTGGTGAGAGCTGTCTCACTGAGTCACTAGGTCGTGGGTTCGAAGCAGCCTCTCCGCAAATTTTGCGGGGTGAAGGCTTGCCTCAATTTTTCCCTTCCCCAGACCCTACTCATGTGGGAGCCTCCGGCATTGGGTCTGCCCTTTTTAAAGTGCAATACTAGTTCCTGAATTATATGCTGACTTGTTGACAGGAAAATCTAAATGGCTTGAATTTTGCAGGGTAAACAAGGCAGGGAGGGCAGCTGGTGTGCTTGAGAACCATGAGGAGGGGAGGCGTTACGCCATGCATGGCCTAAGAAGCTTTGTGCATGAAAAGACCCCTGAGATCATGCCTGCCATCAACAAGTTCTTCACTGAGCCAAAGTGAAGCATGTTGATTGGCTGTTGATGGTTCTGCTACTAGTTGCTATTGGGGGTTGTACCCTTTTCTGGCAATTCGATATGTTGTGCCGTCCATAAATTGGAGGACATCTCTTACTCTTATAAAAGTACCGTATGAGTGCTTGGTGATGACTTGCTATATGTATGATGGTGAATGAGTTTGATCGTCCCTGTTGGATGTTCATGCTCTTCTGTCATGTGGATTTGCTGCACTTCAATGATAAAACTGTCAGCCAACGTTCATTTGGATACTGCTAATGGTAATCTTGTGAAGTGCGCTCCTTCTACAGTTTGTGAAGCTTGACATGTCGATTTTGTGTATCCCAGCCCAGATTAGGCATCTGCATGTCCTGGCTTCTTGATATGATGCTATCCCAGCCCAGATGCCAGAATATGTCAAAAGTTATTGATTTCTTCTGTTTTTGTTAGAGCAACCAAGGTAAATGACTACTCTCAAGTAGCTTATGACCTTTTCCCCTCTTATCCTAAAGAAATAGTGGATCAAGTACTACTCTCAAGTAGTCATTTTAAAAGATCTATAGCACGATCATTAAACCAGGTCACAGTAAACCAGACATTCAGCAAAAGTTCACTTTCAGAACTGCTAGAGTAATGCAAAAATAGTCGAATCGCAAAAAAAAAAAAAAAAAAAAAAAAAAAAAAGTAATGCAAAAATAGTCAACCAGCTGAACGGATTGTTGCCTTCAGCTGTCTTGCTGCTCAAACTTGGTGCTCCTCGTACCAAACAACTCCTTATGCTGTACTCGTACCAAACAACTCCTTATGCTGTACTAATATACTAGCTTCGTCCACAGAAGAATGTAATTCTCATTTATCGAGAAATCAACCAATTTAAACTTTGACCGAAAATATATTAAAAAGTACTAACACTTTTTAACAAAATAAGTATCAATATATTAATTGTAGAATATATTTTCATAATAAATTTATTTGAAGACATAAATGCTAATACTATTTATTATAAACTTGGTTAAAGTAGAGCAAAGTTGACCGACACGAATCCATAATTGCATTGTTTTATGGAACGAGGGAGTACAACGAAGCAGATACTGGAAACGAGGAAATAGTAACCTTTTGGTGCCGACTACATATTGTCCACTAGCAACAATTTGACAATTCGATCAATTTTCCTGCTTTTTTCCTTATGAAAAAATGGCCTCATTTCTAGCATACGAGTAAATACAATCGAAAGACAATAATGCCTTCGAGTTTTTATTACATCTTGTACAGGGCGATTCCCTAAGCAAGCATCAACAACTGAGTTGATCTACCTACCGGAATCGGCGTACAAGTTACAACTGATCGGCGTACAAGTTACAACTGATCTGCCAACATCCTGCTTCATGATCTCGTTTCCCGGGTAAGGTCCAAGTACCATGATTTCCATGCGTCCACATAATGACCAAAAAGATCGTTCAGGGCTGCAGCAACAAAAAGTGGTGTAAATTCAATCCAATTACCTGTCAAAAGAATCAGCTCTCCATAGTAGTTTAACAGAAAGAGCACAAGGGATCAAACAGACAAAAAATACAAAACTTTGAGCATAATTGGACCATTAAAATCTATCGTAATAGCATGTAATATCGGATCTTTACTGGTTTCTATAGCGTAAAAAATGTAAATTATGTTTCTTTCATTACGAGTACAGATTTTGGAATTTAGGTCAAAAATACGATATTGTATGTTTTCCTTAAAAAACTAATGGCCATATGATTTTTAGACATGGAAATTGGGTTTTAAACATCGTAACACAAACCATGTTAAGTACACATCTGCTTGTTTAGTCTTGATGCGTTTATATACTGTTTAAGTATCTAGCAAGCCTCTAAAGTCTTAGTAACAAACAATTCATAGTTACTCATGTATTTTCCAGATTCTTTTCTTTTCCCATTCAAGATCAGACACCTGCTGCAAGCAGAAGTGCTTGACAAGTTAAAAAAAAAAAAAAAAAGGCGTACCCAGTGCAGAGAGCTCCCGCTCTGTGCGGGGTCTGGGGAAGGGTGTCAGTGGCAAGCCTTACCCTTGCCTGTGCAATGCGAGGAGACTGCGACTCGAACCCGGGATCTTCCGGTCACAGGCGGTAAGACTCTACCGCTTGCACCAGGCCCGCCCTTCTAAGTGCTTGACAAGTTAATTGCAAGAAATTAAAAGAGGACAAACGGTGTTGTGGTAATGCAAATTTGTTTCTTTGAAAAAGAATTCTTCAACGCTGCAATTATACAAATGAAATGTTGAGCTCACCTTGATTCTGATATTGTGGACGGAACGACACAGCAAGATTTTCCCAGTCCTGAATGGTCTTCCTCTCCTGCTGCTTAACGGTTTGATCATCAGTTTCCTGTTTCTTTGCACTAGCAGGGTGGAAGGGCCCATAAACAAAGTCACTCCTTTTCTCTTGCCCCAGCTGCCTCTCAAAAGTCTTCACTATGTTGCCAGCACCCTGCACGAGCTTGACTTTGTTCTCTGCTGTCGAGTCTAACTTGCTTCGCTTATTGTCAATGTTTGTAAGATCAGTACCAAATGCTCTCTTATTGGGCATTGCCTTCCTGGATGGAGGTAGAGCAACCATGACATTGTTCTCTTGCTTTCGCTTTTCCTGGCCTAGCCACCGGAATGCAGGTTTTCTTGTGTCTGCTTGTTGCGTCTGAAACAAACGTTACAAGAAACAATGTTCAGCAGCCAACAGCCAGAAATATCATTTCCATTCATTTGAAATGGTATGCAGTAGAGAACCTACCTTCTCAATGAGGTTCAAAGAAGACAGGACATTGGCAATGTCATACAACCGACGAACTTTGGCTGCTTTGTGAATATTAGAATCATTGTGAGTTCTATTTGGATAGGAAAGGCATTTGACACAAGCATGGAACTAAACAAAAGGAATGCATGTACTAACTTCTCATGTTGCTCTCTGCTTGTCCCTCTCCAAGGAGAAGCTTTGCAGCTTCGTCAAGTGAGATTGTCTCAACCTGCACAAAATACAAGCCCCATTACAGTTAAGTGCGAAAGGGAAATAACCTGAACCATACAGGGTGAATTCAGTCCTCTAACCTCCATGGTGAGGAAGAGCTTGACAAAATTCTGAGTGAGGAGCCCGAGGGACTTCTCCTTCCGATGATCTATGAATACAGCACCCAAACGTTAAGTGAGCACACAACATAGACGATAGATGGCTCCAGATAAAACAAGAACACAACTAAGCAGCTATACCAGATCTAAGGCGGCAGCTGGGTGCGTCAGGCTTATCAGAAGTATTGTCGACAGACTGGCTGAGTTTCTCACTCTCGGCATCTTCATCAACATCGCCCAATTTATCATCATCCTCATCATCTGATAACTTTGCAATCACAAAACCCAAAGAAATTTGATATATCAACAGCAGGTATTTTGTAACAAGGCCAATGGCAAGGAATCTCTCTCTCTCTCTCTCTCTCTCTCTCTCTCTCTCTCTCTCTCTCTCTACAACAAAAGCAAATCCAGTTGAAGAAAACAGAAAACTAACGTTGGCAGTAGAGGAGTCCTCCATTGGCAGTAACACTGGTGATCCAGACATCTCCCTTAATGCCCTCTCCTGATCAAACCAAACACGATTGAAAAAAAAAGGGAAATTGTTGATAATGAGGTTAGCAATGGAAGCTAAGATGGTTGGGATTCAGAACTGCGGGATCGAAGCCAGACCTTGAGATCTTTCAGCGCAGCAGGGACTCCTCCGAATCCGAGCCATGTATACCGATTCTTCGCCCTGCGCACAAGAATCTGCAACAGGCCCCCCAACCCCCGAGGAATTGTTAAAGCAGGATAGCACATCACAAAGTTCGAAAGCACAAGAACGCGAAATCGCATTCCAAGAAGGAAATCACGGCTCACCCCAACGCTCTCGAGAACGTTGACGATGTCGTAGATCCGGCGGCGCTCGACGCCGAGCCGCTTGGCCGCGTCGTCCAGCCCAATCACCTCCGCGTCCTCCCGGTCGTACAGCGCCACGAAGCTTCAAGAAGGAAGGAATGGAACCAAAGGTCAAAGGTCAAAGCACCGCACGCCGCGAGCACCCCGCGCGAAACCGAGGGCGTGAGAGGCGGAGAGCTGTGGCCTTACTTGGAGCAGAGAAGGCCGAGCGACTTCTGCTTGCGGCTGTACGCGTGGTGGCGGCAGCCTCGCGCGACGCCGCTGCCGCTGCCGGCGCCCTGCACGGGCACGTGCGCCTGCGGATCCACCGGCGGCTGCTGGGCGCCGGTCGTCGACGGCTGGGCGGCGGCCGCGGACGACTCGGCGCCGGAGAAGGAAGGCCCGGCGGCGGGGGCGGGGGCGGGGGCGGCGGCATCCATCGCGGGCGCCCGAGCTGGGAGGGTTTGGCTCACGCGGTGCGGACTGCGGAGAGGAGGGAATCGCTCTTCGCTTGACGTAATTTTTTCTTTTTTTTTCGATTGTCCTTTGGTCCCGTAGATCTGCGGGAGCTGGTTGGGGAGAGAATTCACGCGAAGCCGTTGGGTAATCTGGCGCCCGCCACAGCGGATCCACAACTTTTCAAACGCCTCCACCCCGCGTTGCCGCGGCTCTGTCGGTTTAAAGTTTTCCACTTCCAGTCGCTGGTGGATTGGTCATAGTCAGCCTGTTCGGTTGGGTGGTAAACGATCGTAAATTTCCAGTTAGAACAGTGTTTTTCTCTTACACCAAACCAGCCAGCAGTAAATAATCTACGATCGTTTACGGCCTCCCGAACAGGCTGAGTATCTCCGAAATTCTTTCTTAAACCTTTCACACACCAACAGTTTAATCAGGAGAATCATTTGAATATAAATTGGTTTTTATATCTTGTCATCATTCAACAGTTTCTCTATATTTATAGGCATTTTAAAGAACCAGTATGCTCTCTACCTTTGACTAATGAAAAATCAAGACTAAAGATAGAAATATTTGATTTGCAAAAAAGTTGTTAGGTTTTTTAACCAAAATCTTTATTTCTATCAATGCTATGGAAAGACTCTTAGAGTTGCTAACAGGGCTTGTTTTGGACTGCATCGTGCATAGAAAATCAACTCTATTTGCTAAGAATCTATTAGAGCCTATTTGCTTTTATGTATTCGGTAGTGCTAGCGTCCGGACGTCCGGACGTCCGGACGCCTACGTTGCACTCCCGTTTCCCATGCTCGGATCAGCACGGCCCCACCCGAGCCGACATTTTGTGCACCCACGCAGGCCCGCGTTGCCAGACCACATACGCAGGGACCGCTCGTGCCTCCTCCGCTTCTCACGTGCATTGCAACATGTGTAACACCCAATCTGCTTTTGTAACATCCAGGTGAAACACTTGCAACATACGTCCGAAATAGCTGAAACACTTGCAACATATGTCTAAAACATTTACAAAACACCAGAAAAACTTGAAAACACGTGTGTGGCCTTGCAAACATATGCAAAACATCAAGATGAATCACTTGCATATATATGCAGCACCCCGATCTAGTTTTGCAACATCCAAATAAAACACTTGCAACATACGACTGAAGCAGATAAAACATTTAGAACATGCACTTGAAACATACGTGTATAGCCCATTGCAACATCCCGATCTACTTTTACAACATCCTTATGAAATACTTGCAACATACCTCTAAAATATCTGAAACATTTGAAATATACATTTGCAACATGCATCGTATCTCGGTGTGGCCTCCTCCGCCGTCTGCATCGGGCACCGAAGCCGTAGCAAGAGGCAAGGCCAGAGGCCTTTCGTGCCAGGGCACAACGCTTCTCCTTGCACAATGGCCTCAGTGGCTAGTTGGCGGGCGAGGGAGTGGTCGCCACGCGTGGGTGCGGCGGTGCCCGCACTATCCGGTGAGGCGGGCCGCAGAGCAGAAGCAGCGAGGCGGCGCGGTGGAGTAGGGGAAGGAGCAATGCGGGGTGACTGTCGACGGCGGAGCGGGCTGCAAAGCAGGAGCAGCGAGGCTCCCGCGCGGAGCAAGCAGACAGGGTCACCGTTGACTGCGAAGCGGGTCTCTCGTCTCCTCCTTTCCTTATCCAACCAGTGCAACGGAAGAGATGGGCGAGGATACCGTAATAAAAAACGATAGGATGTAAAGCAAATGTTTATTGGGCTGATATACAGGCCCACTAAAAGGTGTCCAGGCGGGTGGACGCCCTGATATGTACCATTTCATTTATGTATTTGCTAACATAAAATCTTACGGGGCTTGTCACGCTGCACGCTGAGCGTGCGACCCCTCAAGGCTCCTTTGGATGGTGGGAGGAAAAAAAAGAACATGTAGGTTTTTGACCTCAAAGGGGATACTATCCTTCAAATTAGTGAAGAAAAACATGTGATTCTAATTCCGGCGAAACAAAAAATATCAGAAAAATTAGTGAAATAAAGATTTCAAAACTTTTGCTTACTCCAACTAAAACTTGGTGTTGTGGATAAATTTACCAGTACTTATACTGGCCGGGCGATTACAGCATGGCTCTTCGACCGCCGGGCCACAGGCAAATATAGATCTCACCGGCGGCTTGGTCGGCGATTACAGCGTAGCTCTTCAACAACCGGGCCACACGCACAGATAGATCTCACTGGAAGGAGGGGACCTCCGGCCTCATGTAGAGAGGATTCGGCCGCCGAGCCTCACGCAAAGAGGAGCTTGCCGGAGGAGATTTGCAAGATTGACGAGGTTGCCGCGAGTGAACCTGACGAGCGGTGGGACGAGACGTCTACGAGGTGACGCAAAGCACCCAAAGCCTAGGCTCGATGCCTCACGTGGTTGCATACTTGCATCCGCGGTGCCTGCCCCAGGAGATACGCTCGAATCAAGCGTCTTCGCCGATGCAGATGGCACTGTATATTTGCATGACTGGAACCGAGTTGGAATAGTGAAAACAACCATCCAAACGCACTTCATCGAGTTGAAACAGTGAAAACAACCATCCAAACGTATTTCAGGACGGAGAACATGCGGGCAGCCAATTCCACCATACGCCCTGTTTGTTTGGGCTAGTTTGACTTATAAACCATGGCTGAAAGTACTATTGACCGGTTTGGTGTGAGAGAAAAATACCATTCGTTGACTAATAAACCATGGGTTATAAGCCAAATACGACTAAGTGAACAGGCTTTGGATTTGAGACCGAGCGCTCGAGTGGCTAGCGGCGCCAGTGGCTATACAGCTAGTGCGAGTTAGATTCCTGGAATCGTCGCGTCTCTAAACGAGACTTGCTCCCAAATAAAATTTACAACCTCTCGCGTGGTGACAAAGAAAACTGTGATGTTTGTGCAGGCTGTAAATATCATTCTTTCATTTAATGAAACAGAAAAAAAATATGGGTACCGTGATGTTCCCATTGCCTACAAAGTTACGATAGTTTTGGCCGGTGATCACTGGATGGTCCCATCGCCTGCAAAGCTACTAGATGGTTTTCGCCGGTGATCTCTAGATGGTTTTCGCCAGTGATCTCTAATCGTGTGTTTTGTTGGAGGAACGATGGGGGACAAGGCGGGGTGGAACCCACTTCCTACGCTGTTTGGTTCCAAGTCGAGTTGGAGCGAGTCTGTCCGAGGAGCGAATATTCCCCAAGATTTGAGGTTGCCCCAATCCCTCAATCGAGGGGACAGGGTCATCCCCAATTCACGCCATCTCGTGAGCGGGAGTCGTCGAGGCCGATGTTGTCCTCGTGCAGGTCCGTGGTGGCGTCAGCGCCGACAGCTAGGCGGGGAGGAGCCACGGGGGCACGGGGGCATGGGGAGAAGAAGATAAGGGCACATGGGAGCGGCCGATGAGTTCTGCACGCTAGCCGAAGCAGAAGAGGCGGATCCGAGCTCATGGTCGGCGAGCTCTGCGTTGGGGAAGGGGCGGCGCCAACGAGCAGGAGAGGCAGCAGAGGAGTGGCACCTTGGGGCAGGTTGCAGAAGGGCAGCAACGAGAGGAGGAGCTGCAGCGGCACAGCGGGCGGGGCCATATCCGATGGTCGGGGAGGGCAAGGCTGTGCGGCGCCAACCAACGCAAGCTGTCCAGCGACCGCAGCCCGATCAAGACGCGAACCCAACGCCAGCAACGCCCACGCGCGCAGTGACCGCGGCTCAGGCCGAGTGGACGCATTTTAAAGCTAAATAAAACAGCTAATTATCTCGTCTAAGGTTCAACCACTTATGCCAGTTTAAAGCCAACACTACCCGGTTCCTAACGAAACAATCGTTATGATCACAGAGCAGCTAGGGGGAAAGATAAATGAGTGCCAAGGTAAGCTCGTCACTGAAATGCCGGCTCACGAACAGAGAGCCAACGACATGGTTCGCAGCGCGTTCCAACGTAGTTCGCCCAATTTTTACGAGTTCCACGTGACAACCAACATGACTATAACCTACACCATACCAAGTGCTCGTCTTTGATGCAACCAACTGTACAAAAACATGTTGTATTGATTAATCATTTTTGTTGAATTTTAAATGTCAAAATGGTATTGTCTATAATTCTTTTCTGACTTTGACAGAGTAAAAGCTTGGTTAGAACTAACAACTTTTAGCGTTTTTGCCATAATTGTTAAAGGGTCTAAACCTTGTTACTTTCAACTAACAAACATCTCATGCAATAGTCCATACCTTATACTAACCCGTAGGAGCAAAATATTTAAGCACCATTTAACTATTTTGCTCAATATAATTCATCAAAAATAGTATTTTAACAATAGTTCATGTGTTTGCTGACTTAACGAAAAGAGCTCCTCATAACGTCAAGTTTGATTTTTGAGCTCCCAAAACACTAGTTAACATCTATTTTTCAAAAGTTAAGATTGCATTTCCATCTACTAAACTTGTACTTCAATTTTTATTTAAGTACTAAATACAAGTTATGTTTGATCCTTATTCATAGAAATTGTTTTTCCGCCTCACATGCGTTATACATTTTTAAAACCCAGAAACTTGTTAAGTTAATCCTTCTCGGTTCTAAATTTCGATGCTAAGTAAGCTCGTAACAGGGGTGTTACATCTATCATCCATCACATTCATATTTATCCCTTGAACAAAACACAAAATGGGTCGATCGAGTCCATCGTCAACCAAACAGAAAATAGAGTAGTCCCGTCCCTGTCCTGTGCCAGAAATCACAAATCAGAGATAGGACCGTCCCACTCCACTTTGGTTCATCCAAACCCTAAACGGACACGGTCTTCTACTCTACGTGTAGTTGTACTAGGTCTAACTGTAAGTGCGGTGTACATGCGTGTACAGATGCTATAACTGTAGCATGAGAGGCGTAAGAAAACACACCCCCTGGTTCATCGGTTTGTGCACCTGATATGTTGTGAACAAATATTACATAATAGAGGGAATAATAAATATGGTACAACTAGAATAGTTTATTTATATACAGAAACCCAAAGTTTACACTGGGCGGGCCAGTGTTATACTTAACTTCTTCCTAAGGGCTCGTTCGTTTGAGTAGTTTCCGCCCCGGAATGATTCCCGGTCAAATCTGCTACGTACAAATTAAACGGACAATCCTGGCCGGAACGGTTCCCGGACGTCGTTCCCCGGGAACCGAACAGGGCCTAAAGGATCCAGCGACTGAGGCTTCAATTTCAGAGATGCACTGCATGGAAAAAAAATGATAACAGTGAGCACAAGAACTAACAATTTAATTAACCTATTTGGCCCATGTTTTCAATATTTTTCCAGATTTATCGCCGCTACGGCAGCACGATATTGGAACCAGATGCTCTACAGTACGTACACCCCCCTCCCACCTGTTCAGAGGAAAGTACTGGCAGGTGGCCTGATTGTCAGTGACCCGCTGCAGAGGAAAGTACTGGAGTGAGGACTCACAATCCCACGATATATTACCACCACCGAAACTTGTGCAAGCCTAACCTTAAGGTAGCGTTTGGTCGAGGGGATCCGGTGGGATGGGGTGAGACAGTCCTGGGATGAGCCGTGTTCGGATGAGAGGCAGCCGGGGGCGGGTCGATCCCTGAGCGGAATATACCGCTCAGATTCGGGGCGCCCCCGTCCCACAAAATCGACGGGACGGGGTCAGCTCAAGTGGGACGAGGGCGCTGTTGGCGACGAAGGAGAGAAGAGGTGCGCTCGCTCGTCAACGGGTTCGCTCTGATGCGGCGGCTGCAGATGAGAAGATCGGCGGCAGCATGACGGATTCAAGGAAGAGGAGAGGGAGGAGGCGAGTGAGATACCGGAGATGGGAACGAGAAAGCGCCACCTCCGCCGGCGCCTCCGTGGCCGCGCGGGTGAGCTCCGGCCCCGTGGCTGGGCAGGTGAGCAACAGCCCCGCCGGTGCGCAGGCTACCACCGCCGCTGGAGAAGAGGCGCGAGGACTTTCATTGGAGCAGTCGCCGGGTCGCGTCTGGTCCCGTGTGGTACGTGTGGCGTCGGGTTGTCCAGTGGGGAAAGAGATAAGGGAGAAGGAAAAAGAAAAAAACTGATAGTTGGGTCCCACTTGTCAGTAGCTGATCCCACTTTTTATGACTCTGGGCCAAACAAAAAATGGGTTGATCCCATTCCTTGTCAACCAAACAGAAAAGAAAATAGAGTCTTCCCGTCCTATTCCACCGTGACTCTCAACCAAACGCTTCCTAAGAGTTAGTGTGGAGTAGAGAGGACAGGACAGTGGTAATGTCAATATAAACTATTAAGTTGCATGCACCGACCAATTCAACTCAAAAGCTTAAGCTGATGGAGAGAGGTAGACCAATTCACTTATATTCCAACACTCCCTCACGTGGAGGCTCCCTCATACCTCAGATGTAGAATAGGAGCGAGCAACAATTATTTTATTTAATTGCGCTAAACAGGGTTCGAACTCGAGACTTCTAGCTCTGATACCATATTAAGTTGTATGCACTAACCAATTCAACCCAAAAGCTTAACCTGATGGGAAGACATAAACGGAAGCAAAGTTTTATACCTGTTGATACAGTATCTCTGCCCTGTTGGTGGTGGCCCGTCATCAAAGACATGCCCCAGATGGGCATCACAGGCAGCACAGAGCACCTCGGTCCGGGGCATGAAAATGATTGACATATCAAGCTTGCTCTTGACATTTTCGCCAATTGGTTTATAGTAGGATGGCCATCCGGTACCACTATCAAATTTGGTTGATGACCTGAAACATCATCAAAGCATCAGTGGTGCAGAATAATTAGCAGAATCACAGATGAGATTCCAGAAAAGAAAATTTCAAATGAAGAAATATGAAGCTATTTCTCTTGGCTGTCCAGGTGTGGTTGCTAAATCAAACATGAGACTTTTCCCTGTGTGCCATTATAAAAGATTATAATTTCCTCTGTACCCCTGGAAAAATTCAGCGGTCTTCAGCGCCATTACTTCAACTTTTTCGAGTCCTCCATGCCACTTCCGTCAGTTCAGGCTCTAACGCCGTCAAACTACAGGTGTGAAAAGACGAAAATGCCCTTAAGTTCAAATATGTTATTAATTTTTTTTAGCATCTTAACGACTTCAAATGAAAAAACAAAAAAATAGATGATTTTTGTAAGATATATTCGAGATCTATATATTTTCATATAAATTAAAATCATTTAATTATATAAAAAAAATAGATCTGATTGAGATCTACAACTTTATATTTCATATCAAATCATATTTTGTCGAATTAAATGAAAAAAAATTAATAATATATTTGAACTTAGGGCATTTTCGTTTTTTCACACTTGCAGTAGTTTTTGACGCAAGTTAGAGCCTCGAATCGATGAATGGCATGCATGGAGGACCCGAAAAAGTTGGAGTAGTGGCGCTAAAGACCGCTGAATTTTTCCAGGGGCACACAGGGGATTACGATCTTTTATAATGGCACACAGGGAAAAGTCTCATCAAACAGAGGGGTGTCACAGCAAACACAGTGATAAATGCCTGGGGTTTTAGTATTCCAGTATTCCCTGATATATAATAAAAAAAAACAGACAATGTTCTCAGCACCATTCTGCTGAGTAAGATGCTCTGCATCTTATGTACCCAGTAAATAATAGTTTGCGTAGATAAAAATGGTGGGCAAAAGAAGATTAACAATTTGAGTGGATCGCAAAAAGAATTTGAATAACAGCCACTTGGTAACGTACCCAGTGAATGCTCTCTCAGTGCCCTTCTGCCGAGTAACATAATACTGCTCTTTAGTCAGGCGCTTCTTCCACTCCTCTTCACTCAGTGATGTATAATCTGCTTTCCCTGTTTCCACACGTTAAAGTATTGGCTTTTAGTCCAATATTTCTTTAAAGAGTTTGTACCACATACTGGGTCACTGCTACAACATCCAAGTTCAAAATCACATAACAAGTGCAACAAATTTATTTAATTTCTTCGAAGGAAAGGGCAGTGCTTAACAACAAAAAAAGAGATCAAAAGCAGATATTCTATCTGAAATAGTATATTACTTCAAGCATGAATGCATCACGTGAACTCTGATTGTTCCAGAATACCATTGTCAACAAAACAAAAGATAGAACAAGAATATACATCTTAATGATACTATTAATTGCAACTGTCTTTACCAGGAAAAACAAAGTGTACGATCTTTTACAGGAAGAATCATTTCTTTCATGTTTGATGTTTCTCAATGTTATATTTCCTGATCTTTCTAGAAAAGGATTCTAATTGGGTACTTATCACCAAGGACCAGATTACTTAATAGCTGATGGACAAACCTACAGTTCAAAGATTACCCAGGAAGGAAGCTGAACTAGCTCAGTTGGTCAAGGGTGTGGATGCATTGTATACCCAGACCACCCAGGTTCAAGACCTTGTTGAGACAAATTTGAGTGCCTATTTTCTTCTTAATAAAATGCCACCTAATTCCTCCTAAGTTAGTCTAGTTTTTTTTTTTAAGATTACCCAGGAGAATTGCACTAGCAACTTTCGAAAAAACTCTTGATGAGACAAAGGATTTTACTGCATCTGTTACATTTCTGTCAAGTTAGTTGTTGCCTTTTGATATTGTTATTTCATTTTTTCTCTTGATGCAAGATTTCGTGACTTGTCTGAAAAAGGGCATCAATCATGTAAGTTTAAACCCCGGCCCAGAAGCATTTCCGCACTATCATCTTTTAATATCTTTTGGACAGATAAAAACTTTGCTGCTTGTGCTATCTGTTCCCCTTAGTTAAAACAAAATCAGAATAATTTTGGTACTCTGAACCTATGTAATAACGGGTTCCCTTGGAATAGAAAGGGAAGGGGGCTAAATCTGAGTGAGCTTCTGACAAACAATTAGTTTTGTTGCCTTGTGATACCTACCACCATTTCCATCCATTGTTGCCCCAAGAAAGTGGCACGATTCTCAAATTAAGTGTCCAATCCCCATACCAGTCCGGAACTAAAGTTAGGGCCTGGTTTGCCAAAATTAGACTTAGGGCCTGTTTGTTTGGTGAAAAACATGCCACGCCTAACCTTCGGTAAACTGTGGCCGCCATAGAAAGTGTGGCGAACAAAATCGCAACCACACTTGTGGCAAGGTTTGGCAAAAAAATAAGTTCGGTACTAAGAAAGTATGGTGTGCCATAGCTGTGGCAGTAAACCAAATAGCTGCCGAAGATACTGGCAAGCCGAACCTTTGGCACGGCACGTTTTGGTCACCAACCAAAACAGGCCCTCGCGACACAAATCGTGGCCCGCGTAGGTTAATCAACATCAGTTTAGTCCACCTTCTTATTCCACTCACATCGGTAGACTAGTCGGTTCATCATATAATACAATTTATATAAATCGAGAATCTAAAGAATCTATATGTCTAGAAGAAGCCATCCACTGTGCACTGATGATCCACATCGGGGGAAACCCATCCAATCCAACTTCTCCAAGCACCAAAAGGCAGATAGAACTAGAACACGCTGTACAATCACTCGCGGTAGAAAAATAAGGGAAGTTAGAAGAGGCGAAAGAACCGCACGGCACCTTGGGTTTGTCCTGAAGGCGTGTGCGGCGACGGGGATTGCGACGACGACGACGGCGCGGAGCCTGTAGCTGTACCTTCCGGCTCCACCGCAGGCCCACGGTCCTGCCGGCCTCGGACGCGCCGTGGCTGTGGAGGAAAAGGAGGGGGAGAGGTCGGGCGCTCCTGCTCTGACCCCAGCTGCGTAGCACGGGGCCGACATCGGTCAGGTTTTTGTGACACGGAGCTCTGATGCTTGGTGGGTGGCGGGCGCACCTGTGCTGGTAACTGTAAACGGTGCCTGCAGCCAGACGCAGCGCGTGGGTTGTTCCGTGGCCAGCGATGGCGAGACGTGGCCGAGCGGCATCGGCACACTGCACACGCGCACCTGCGGCGTCGGCGCCTGGAAGAAACAGGCAGAAGGTTCGGTTCGGCTCGGCAATCGGCACACCATCTAATGGGACTGTTCTGCATTGGAACAAAACTTACGTTTTATGTGTTTAAAAGAAGCGGTTCGGCTCGGCAATTGGCACATCGTCTAATGGGACTGTTCTGCATTGGAACAAATCGGCACACCATCTAATGGGACTGTTCTGCATTGGAACAAAACGTACGTTTTATGTGTTTAAAAAACGATAATGCTTCCTCATGGGTGTCCGTCCCCATTCGGACGCCGCACGACCCACTCCTATTACCGCTATGGTCATCCCACTCCTCCATCTCATCCCGCGCGACTCGCTCCCAAAAAAAAATCCTGCTCGTCTCACTTCGCTGGCGGCCGTGTGTCGGTGTTTTCGGGCCACCGACGAGTAAATTTGTATTTGCGCGTTTGGCTCGGATGGTGTGCTCAGAGGACACAGGAATTTATATTGGTTCGGGCGGAACGTCTCTACGTCCAGTTCGTTGCTGCTCGTGTTACCAGCACTTGGTTTGCAGTAGGGGTTACAAACAGGCGAGAGAGGAAAATGATCCCAAATCTCTGATGGAAGGAGTGAACGGATGCTGAGAGCTCGATTGCCGTTCAGCCATGTGCTCATGTCGTGCTCTTGTATTCCGATTTTGTGTGGATCTCGATCCCCTTTTCATGGGGCGCCCTGCTTCCTTTTTTATAGGCAAAGGAAAAGCGCGGGTTACAGCGGAGGAAGAGGAGAAGAACGAGAGAGAGAGAGCGAAGAAGGCTTCCAGGGTCGCTGGGTCCTTCTTCTCCTTCATGCGGGTCCCATCGATCCTGTAGACATCAACAGGGACGGCTCCATGTCGTGGACCTGTTCGTCACTGGCGTCATGCGCAGGCGTCATCTACTGGTCATGGCGTTCCACTCCGTCCTGGCGGACGTCGTGGTGAACTGGCGCGCTTGTCAGCGTCCGTACGAGGGTTAGGCAGAACAGCACCGACACGCCCAATACTGTTCTTGATGTGAATACCCAGGTATGGTCTGTCATGGCCACGAGTTATATCGAGACGTGCTAGTCTCTTCCCTGGTGTCAGAGTTTTGATCCAGGCCCATACGCTTGGACCTGGAGTGGTTGACGGCAGTATAGGTCCCCGTCGGACGAGACGGAAACCGCATCCTTAGGATAGGGCGAGACGGAGGCCGCACTCAAGAGGTCGGGCGAGACAAAGCCCGCGGCCTTAGGCGAGATGGAAACCGTGTCCTTCGGGTCGGGCGAGACGAAGCTCGCACCCAAGGGGTCGGTGTAACACCTCTGGTGTTTTAAACACTAAAATATGACATGTCATCATATGCATTGCACATTATTCTTGTGTTAGTGAAAACTTTGATATGCATTCACTAAAACAAGTTTATTTTTATGATTATATGTGTTAACTTGTATGGGATGATAAGTAAATATGTGACCCTTGGGCAGGGTACTGTATCTGTATGTTTTGTTTTATGTTACTAAAGCTACTCCACTACTATGGTTTGTAATAATAATCGTACTTAGTTATAAGGTTTGAAACAACTGTTTTGTAACTAAGTTATTGTAAGACTTTCGCTATTTTGCTCTGATGTAAATTAATGAATAAACTGTTGTAATACTGTAATGACTCTGTAATGGATCCTGCTCGGAAGAAATCGTGGATGATTCGGGTTTTCCGAGGACACCCGATAGGCTTCTTAAGTTACCGGGAACATATGCATAGTCGTCAGAGGTCATTGGACAGTGACAGGTGCATGTGGGTCCTATAATTTAGGAGGTTCTACCACAGAATGGTATCAGAGCGATCATTACAAAGATTTTTGTAGTATTATTTACAAAAACTTCAAAACAATTTGGGACAAATAAATTTAACCTGTTAATTTGGTCCTTCCTTCATTCTCGCAATTCCTTATTTGATTAATAAGGCTTTATATGGTGGAGTAGTAATCTTATTATACCCTATATAATAAGAACTATTATTTATGTATCTTATGAGCTTTGATGTTTAAGTTTCATAAGGACGATTCATGCATCATGATTAATCCACTTGTTAATTACTTTCCCTCTTAGTTTGGGTTGAGTAGTGTAAATCCCATTCTTAATACTCTTTAGACTTTTCTCAGATTGTCTTACTGTTATTAAATCTTGCTTTCTACAGTATGGCTCGTACCAAGATAACACCCCGTAAGTCCGTTGGACCCAAAGGAGTTCCTCGTCACCAGCTTGCCCCTAGGAGTGATGGTGCTAGTAGTAGCAGCTTGAGGCCTGATCCCTAGGCTGAGATACAGAGGCTTTCAGCAGAATTAGCACATGCTACTAGGGATAGGACCTTGGATGCCATCCATGTGGGTGAGTTACAAGATCAATTGAGGCATCTCACCACCGCTCATAAGAACTGTGAGCGTATGTTAGTTCGTATGGTGGAAGGAAGAAATGAGGCTTGGCATAGAGAAGATGTAGCTAGAGACCGAGCTCATGAGTTAGAGTTCTATATAGAAGACTTAGAAGAATATTATACCAATCTGCATGAAGAAGTCCATAGGCTAAACAATCTCCTGAATCCAAATCATGAGCCTTAGGTAGATGCAATGGACCCAGGTGCCATCATTGCAGATGATGATGAACCTGAGGAGGAAGAAGAAGAGGATCCAGAAGAAGTAGTGGTGGTCGATGAAAGTGATGATGAAGACGGAAATGTTTTTGGAATGGATACCGATCACGAGGTTTGATGTGATCGAGGAGACGAGTAGAGTTGTAATATAGTGAGTTCTAGTCTAGTTGGGTAGTCTTACTTAAGTGCAGACTTATGTATAAATAAGTGAACCCAATGTAATATGTTTGTAGTAAGCTCTTTTAATAGTTCAATAAATGTTTGTGAGTAAAGTTTGGTTTGTCATGAACAGATGCGTCGTACTCGGGCTTCGAATATTCCTGGTTCTTCGCAAGACGAGGATGGTATTCCTGATCCCCACCAGTTCCGCCAAATTTTGTTGATGGTATCGCGGCACTGGTCAATGTGACCGTAGATAATGCTCGGTTGCTTCGGAAGTTAGCTCAAAGCAATCAAATATGATGCAAGGGAATCATGGTCGTAATCATCAAAGGCAAGAAGCCACGTATGTCGACTTCACGGATACACGACCACCAGTATTTACCAAGGCTGATGAACCACTTGAAGCTGATGATTGGCTTCATACCATGGAGTAGAAGTTTGACCTCATTCCATGCATTGAGTTTCAGAAGCCTGTTTTTGTTGCCCAATAGCTTAGAGGTGTAGTAGGTGCTTGGTGGGCGAACCTTGTGGCCATGCAACCAGCCAATACTCGATTAACTTGGGCCGAGTTCCGCACTTCTTTTCATGCCCATTATATTATGGAGGGAGTTATGGCCATGAAGCTTGATGGGTTTCTTGCTTTAAAGCAAAGTGATCAAACAGTCATGTAGTATGTGGGCAAGTTCAATCATCTTTCACAGTACGCACCTAAGCATGTTAACACAGATGCCAAGAAGAAGAAGTGGTTCATGGTGGTCTTAATACCAAACTTCAGACCATGATGACTACCTACACAACTGTCACGTATCATGAGGCGGTAACATTGCTATTGCTTCAGAGGAAAAATATCGACAGCATAAGGAAATTAAGAAGAAAAAGAGCATGCCATCTGGGTCTTTCGGTGGTAATCAAAAGGGACAGAAGATAATTTATCATCCGGTGAATCACTATCGTCCTCTTTATCGCCCACCGTAGTTCCAAGCCGAGCAACGTCCAAATGTTCGTCCTGCCATAACTTACCCGAACTCACAACAGACAAATGTTCCGGGTGTTCGTGCTCCAACACCCCAAGGCCACAATTACCCATGTTTCAATTGTGGTAAGTCTGGTCATTTTCTAGAGAATGTCCGTATCCTAAGCAGTATAATCCGAATTTTCAGAAGGCTCCCGGAAATCAACAACAGGGT